GAAAGGAGCCAGTTAGTGCGCCGGGTTGTGTGGGAATTGGCGATTGTGTTATTATTTTATTTTATCAATAATTAAAGCAGCCAGTTAAAGCCCTGGGTTGTATGGGGATTGGCGGTTGTGTTATTATTTTATTTATTGTAAATTAAGTTAGTGACCTGTGAGCTTCCTGGGTTGTGTGGGGAATGGCGGTTGCGTCATCATTTTATTTTATTAATAATGAAAGGAGCCAGTTAGTGCGCCGGGTTGTGTGGGAATTGGCGATTGTGTTATTATTTTATTTTATCAATAATTAAAGCAGCCAGTGAAAGCCCTGGGTTGTATGGGGATTGGCGGTTGTGTTATTATTCTATTAATAGTAAATTAAGTTAGCGACCAGTGAGCTTCCTGGGTTGAGTGGAGAATGACGGTTGTGTTATTTTTTTTTTTATCAATAATTGAAGGATCCAGTAAGTGCGACGGGTTGTGTGGGAATTGGCTCTTGTGTTATTATTTTATTTTTCTAATAATTCAAGCAGCCAGTGAAAGCCCTAGGTTGTGTGGGGACTGGCGCTTGTGTTATCATTTTATTTTATTAATAATTTAAGCAGCCAGTGAAAGCCCTCTTTTGTGTGGAGATTGGCGCTTGCATTATTATTTTATTCATAGTAAATTAAGTCAGTGACCAGTAAGCTCCTCGGGTTGTGCGGGGATTGGCGCTTGTGTTGTTATTTTATTCTATTATTATTTAAAGCAGACTGTAAGCGTTTTGGGTTGTGGGGAGATTGGCGCTTGTGTTATTAATTTATTTCATCAATAATTAAAGCCGCTAGTGAAAGCCCTGGGTTGTATGGGGATTGGTCTTTGCGTCATTATTTTATTAATTTTTAATAATCAAAGCAACTAGTTAGCACCCTGGGTTGTGTGGGGATTGGCGCTTATGTTATTACTTTATTTTATTATTAATTAAATTAGACCGTAAGCAATATGTAGTGTTCAAAGTTACGTTGCTCTGTTTACTACTTATACAGATATGGTTAATGGAGTAAATAACAGCTCTATGGTATATAATCACTGATCAGTCGTCTGCAGTGTTTCTATATACAACGGACTTAGTTTATTGATTGGTTGGTGGTGGCGCTGAAATCGGAGGCTGGCAGAGATGTACTTCAAAGTAAGCGACTGGGGACTGGCCCAGGGTTGTTAATGGACTGGACCAATGGACTGGACCAAACGAGTGGAAGTCTAATGGTGTGAAATGGACGCAGTGACAGCTCTCTCAATTATTACTTAGGATTGTCATTGAAAAGTTTTCTTGTCTCTTAAAAGTTTAATCGATTGAAAAGATAGTTCTCATAACGTCCCTATTGAAGGTTACATATTGCTGAATCATTTTTCTTTTTATTTAAATATTGTAGATACAAGTAATAATACTGTTGTGTCCATAAGGCGATGAAAGCACATGTTGAGTTTCAAAACGATTCCTTGATTACTGTTAATTTTTACTGTCGCCATAACTTATAACCGTACCTAATGTTAAAAGTATTATAGCAAATCGAATTATTTTTTTAAATTCCAGTCTGTAGCTTTACTTACAATTGACTGTTTTTCAGAAGATGAAAAGTATGGTTAGACTGTTTACTTTGTAGTCACTTTGATTTTTACCTATAGCCTATGGACAAGTACTTAAGAACAATTTTTCTAACCATAAAATGAAAAAGGTCAAATAATGCAAATAGGTTGACTAATTAATATTTTTTTTGATCAGTGAACAATGTATGTGTGTATTCAATGTACCATTGATGGTATTGTTCTTAATTACTGATGATTGTCAACTCGAATTTTTTCATTGAAAGTATTTGTTTTTAGTCTCAGAAAACATTGTTGAGTATGGTGAAGCCGATGCATGAAGGTTGGAAGCTTGGCTTCCTTCCAGTTCGAGATATCTCTCAAGTTATTGTATCTGCTCAGTGCAAAATCTGTCAGAAGCTCCTGAAAAAATTCAGCAAAGACAGTTTATTTGCCCACAGGTATGATTTTGTTTATGATTTAATAAAATATCTTGTCAATGTTTATTTATTTCTAAAGTCACAGAGAACTTTTTTAGGAATAAATGCAAAACAACAGAGAACATTGATCTGATGGCGTTAAGTGAAGTTGAAGAAGAAGTAAATCTTGGTCAATTATCTCCTGTAAGTCAAATAAACCAATCAGTACCTTTTGCGGAGTTGTCAAACAATGTGACATCTGATTCTTTTTTGCAACTACGTTCTGCAAGTAGTGATACTTACTCAGCAGCAGCGGTAAAACAGAAAGTAAGTTGTAGTTATTTTGCTAGAATATTATTTATTTTACGAAACTTTTGTAATTTATCAAAGTAATAAATGTTAGAGATTAAAAAAACTTTTCATAATATTTTATTACGTTTCATACATTGTCTTAGACTTAAGACAATTTAAAATAAAATAGAAATTAAGTATTTTAGACTTGACTGTTTTTTTTTTTCTAGAGAAGATCAACGGAGTCCACGAACACCAGTATAAATTGTTCACATAAATCAGAAAAAGATCGAGCTCTGCTAAAACTAGCATTGTTAGCCAATCTTTCTTACGACTTTTTTATTCAGCCTTACTTTAGTGAAATGCTGCATGTTTTTGACAAGACTTACAATTTGCCATCTGAGGAAGATTTCAAAGAGTTGATTTTTCACAAAGTTTTTAACGACATGTATAGCGAAAAAAAAGACTGTGTACTTCTGTTGGACTTTAGCCTTATTGCAGGTGGTGGAAGGGTGAGGAACAGGTCGCAGACAAAAATGCCCTTCTTGTGGTAAGTGAACTGAAAAACTTTATTTAATAAGAGTTGCCACGGGCGGTATGTGTTGCCGGAAGGACGATGCTCACTGTACAAGTGCTCGGGCAGAAGTGAGTAGGCTTGAACAGCTGTGACGAGCTGTATAGTGTGTTACACACGAGAGGCGTCAGGCGGCAGCACAAAGCACCTTTTCTTAACACTCCCTTCCTTTGGGTTGATCGCTCTGAAGAATCGTCTCTGAAGTTTCACACGTCTGAATATTACTCCGACTCTGATTTGGAGCTAGTGATCTCCATATCACTGTCTCCTTGGTTTGACGTATCTGAAATCACATTAAAATTAAATATTTTAATCTCTGAGTTCTCTGATCAAAAATTACTGTTTGGTAATTTTCTTCTGAAGTAGATGTGTTTTTCTGAGGACAAAGGTTTTGTCATGATATCTGCCTCATTCTCTGAAGTGGAAATCTATCTAACATTTACTTTAATTTCCAGCACACATGCTTTCACATAGTCACCATGTGTACTTGCCATGTGACACTTTTTGCCAGTAATCTCTCTCTGTTTCAATTGTTTCTGGATCGTCTGAAGGTCATCATCAAAGTTTTTGAGTCTATGACATCCATCTATCTGAGTGCTCTTAACAGCTGCCAAATTATCACACCAGATAGTCACAGGATACATAGACGTTCCCGTTTTACTTCTAATCGCCTTATCCAGAGACACCAGCTCTTGACAGGCATCACTCATGGCTAGATACTTTGCATGACATGTCGAGAGAGTCACATATGACTGTTTGTGACTCCTTCACATAACAGGATCGCCAAACAATTTTATGACGTACCCGCCAGTCGTAGCAGAATCATCTAGATTTCTGAAGCTCGTGTCAGTCATTGCAAAAAGGTCTCCTTTTTGTCCTTTATAGGTTAAACCCAAGGCAGTTGTTCCTCTGAGATATCTGAAAATCCTTTTTATTTCTTTCCAGTCATCCATTGTTGGTTGCAGTTGTTTCCTCGACAAATAGTTGACCGAGTACGCAATATCTGGTCTTGTCACACTAGCCAGGTAAAGAAGGCTTCCAATTGCCTCTCTATAGGGTACATTTGTCAACTGCGCTACTTCTGCTTCATCTTTATCTTTTGAGTGCTTCTGATTTCGGCTTTTGACTTGCCTGGTCACCATGGGAGTCTTTTGAGGTTTACTTTCTTTCATATTGAATCTTTCCAAGATTCTTTCAGTATACTCTGATTGTGAAAGAGTAAGTGTCGTCTGTTCTCTGTCTCTGAATATTTCCATGCCAAGAAATTTCTGCGGTTCATCCAGATTTTTCATCTGAAATATTGAGCTAAGTTTTGTTTTGATTTCTAAGATTCTTCCAGCGTTGTTCCCTGCGAGCAGAATATCGTCCACGTACAGAACTAAGACAACCAACTGATTTTCTTTTCGCCAGGTGAACAAACATGGCTCATTTGTGTCCTTATCTAGACCTAGTTTTAAAACTTCCTTAGTGAAACGTTTGTTCCATCTTTTTCGACTTACTCTGAGTCCATAAAGGGCCTTTTCTAACTTGCAAACTCTTCTTTTTCTTTCATCTGAAGTACATTGCAAACCATCTGAAATTTCCATGTAAATGTCATCTTCTGAAGTGCCATTTAAAAAGGCTGTTTTGACATCCATTTGATATACATCTAAATTGTATTTGTTAATAATAGCAAATGCAGTTCTGACAATTGACAGTCTGGAAACTGGAGCATAAGTTTCTCTGAGTTCATACTCCTTTCTATCCTTGAAACCTCTAATGATCAATCTAGCCTTGTAGACTGTTTTTCCATCTGAATTTACTTTCCTCTTAAAAACCCATTTTGAGTCAATGGTGTGGACTTTTGCTCCACTCTCATCGTAAGCGGGCCTATCCACTTTAGTCCACACTTGATTTGACTCCATTGATTTTAATTCATCTTTAATTCCTTGTAGCCATTTGTCTTTTTCATCTGAGTTCATATCTTCTCTGAAACTTGATGGATCCTTGTTGGTCATAGCTAAGAGCGCATGACTAATCTCATCATTCTCAATCGTTGTATTCTAAGCACTGGCTTGACTCTGATTTATTTTTGGTTATTCTGATGTTGGAACACACTCAGCCTGTCGCAAGTGCGACCACGTTGGTCTATTTACTCTTGCCTTTCTATCTGGCAATTTTGTAATTTTCGGTTATTTGCAGTCAATCGTCTGAGTTTCTCTTCTTTTCTTTGGTCTGCCTCTGTGAGGTTTCACAGTTTCTTCTGGAATATTCTGTGTCTCTAAGTCTTTTTTTTCTGATTCAAACTCTAAATGGCTTTCAAAGTTCTTGCTGTGATTACTTTCCTGTGAAAACTTCCTAATATTCTTTATGTCTCTGTACACAATCTTTTCATTGAATTTCGCGTGCCTGGAGATAACAAACTTGCCGGTCTCATATTGCCAGAGTATGTAACCCGACTTGGTATAACCTACCAGTACAGTCTTGACTGCTCTCTCTGAAAATTTTGACTCTGGGATTGGCACTCTTGTATATGCCAAGCAACCAAAACGTCTGATTTTGTCAATATGGGATTTAAGCCTTTGATCCATTCTCTGAAGAGGTGTCTCGAAGTTTATTCCCGAGTGTGGTGTCCTATTGTAGACATTTGTGGCAACGTCTGATGCCAACGACCACATACTTTTGGGAAGTCCCGAGTCTATCATGAGTGCTCTGATTAGCCACTGCAGAGTCTTATTAAATCTCTCTGCAGTTCCGTTTAACTCTGGAGTATGCGGGGGTGAAAACTCATTCTCTGCATTTTCACTTTTTACAACTTCTGAAAAATGTCCCCCGGTAAACTCCGTTCCATTGTCCGACCTGACGTAGCAGACCTTCTCGTTTTTGCCTAAAATGTTCCTCGTATGTTTGAGGAACTCCTCTAAGCATTCTCCAGCCTGATCCTTGGTCTTGGCGGAGTACGCCTTTGAATACTTGGTGTAATCGTCGACTATGACCACTATGAATTTGTTGCCTCCTGGATACGACTCTGGCTTTATTGGTCCCATCGTATCGACGTGCAACCTCTCTAATGGTTTCGTTGCTCTAACTCTGATTTCGGGAGATGGTAATCTTTCCATCTTTGCCAGTTTGCACACCTCACAATCCAGTATATTGTCTTTAAAATGTACATCTGATAGTATTGCCTCTGATTTCTGAAGTTGTTTTAAGTACTTCAAGGATTTGTGACCCAGCTTCATATGCCACAATAGACCCTTGTCTATTTTTGCACCAACGTTTAGTTCATAACTCATAATTTCATCTAATAACCTCTGATTATCATCTGAATTTGCATCGGTCGTTTCCTTTTCCGGATTAAGTTCATACTCTTTCTCCCTTCCAATCTCTGACTTCGTTATTTCGGAATCTCTTATCTCAATCGCGACGTCTGAATGTAATTCTTCTTGAATCTCTGAAATGTCAGTCTGAGATTGTTGTATGAACTCTTCTAGATTGACCATGTGTGCTGTACATGAGTAAATATTTCTCTGATTTGTACAACCAGTTGTGTTTGATTGCACCTCTAAATCTATGACCCAGTTTGGCTTTTTATACTCGCCAATCAAAAGTTCCTCTTTTGTTTCTCTATCAAAAATCTTCAGTCTAGTGTCATCTAAATATATACCTAATCCTGCATCCGCAAAGCGTCTAAGGGATAACAGGTTGTGCGAGATATCCTTCGCAGCGATCACACCAGTCAGTTTAACTCTCATCTGAGTTTGTTTTTAAAATCAAATTACCTTTTCCATTTATGATGATATTTGCTGATTTATTTTTATTTGCACATCTGATTACTTCTCTGTTACTCTTTTTAAAATCTTTTAAAATAAAACCTTTTCTGACTATGTGTTCGGTTGCTCCGGAATCTGCGATAAATGATATTTTATTATTCTCTACATTTTTACGATCATTCTTACCTTCACTTGTTAGCATAGCTTTTATCTTTTGGGCCTTCTTGCCCTTACTACCAGAGGCTTTCGACTTAGCCTGGTTTTTGCTAACTTTACTATTATCTCTGAATTTACTCTGAGATTTTTCCTTCTTAACATCCCTATCTCTGAAATTTTTATTTAATTTTCCTACATACCCGTCTTTCGGATTGTCCTTGTTTGGACACTGGTCGCCCTTGTGGTTTCTAACTGCTTGGCAGTAGAAACAGTACCACAGGTTGTATTCTCTCAAGGGACAACCTGCAGCCCTGTGACCCTCCCGGTTGCATCTGAAGCACTTTTCAGCCTTGGGCTCAGTGCTCTTGGTGACCACATTTGCTCTGACCTCTGAAGTGGTTTTTCTCTGAAACTGATTAATACTCTGATTATTCTCCACTTGCAGATTAATTAAATACGCTTTTATATCATCCAAAGACATTTCCGCTTTTGTTGTCACGCGCATGATGGAATTCGCGGTTCTTATTTCTTTGTATCTCTCTGAGACGGCGTGGTAAAAGGCAGATCGCTTTTCCTCCTCTGAGAGAGGTACCATGTCTCCGTAATTTTCATATTCCGTCACGACTGTATCGAAACGGTCTATGAACTCTGAAGCAGATTCATTGGTCTTAATTTTGAGGTTATATAACCGCGCTTTGACTGACGAGGCTGTGACGTTTGTCTCTGCTAATCGGAACTCTTTGATTTTAGATATAATATCTTTTGGCTCTGAAATGTTTATCACTTTCTTGTGATGGTGCTCATCTAAATGGCTAATTATAAGTTCTTTGACAAGCATTTTCCTTTTATTCGACTCTGAAAAACCGTAAGTTTCTTCTAAATCACAACTATTTTTTAAAACATCTATATAGTCAATCGTTCTTAATTCACTTGTCAGAGAGTCAAGCCAGAGGGTAAACGAACCTTTTTGCGTTAATTTATATTTTCTTTCGAACGAGGGCTTTACTCTGCTTCTATTTCCCGAATCTACTGAACGCGCGAGGTTCGTCACCGTGTTATTCAATCGATTTAAAATGTCGTCTGAATTATTTGAATTCTGAGGTTTTTGAAAAGTAAAGTCGGATATTATTTTTGGACCTGATTGACGTCCCTTATCCATATTTACCGCGTTAAGTGGAGGGATATTAGAAAAATTAAAATTTTTACTAAAGCTCCCAATACCATCTCTGCGTCTGAATGTCGAATGCAAGAAGGAATCACTTACATCTGAACTCTGAAGATTTCCCTTATTCTGAGGCGGGCCTTCTTGCTTCTTGCGCATCTCCTTTGACATAGTTTTGTTTGCCTCACAAACATCTTCTATGGCGTTCACCATTTTTTCGCAGACATCCACCAGAGTCTGAACATGTCTAGTGGACCTCTCTAAGTTCAGTGATGCTAGCGCCAAGTTCCGCGCTATTTCTTTAATGGCATCAAGTTTTTATTGCCTTTCCTCTTTATCTTCTCTCTGTCTAAATCCGCGTCCCTAACGCGTTCCGGATTCTCTGAATTCTCTGAAAAACAACAAAAAAATACAGCCATCTAGACATATTATTTTTGGTTTTATTTTCTTGGAGGTTATAAGCCTTGCGGTCATATAACTCCTTTTTGGCCACTCTGAGATTTGCTGTATTTATTCTACAATAAACATCGAACATCTATAAGTTACCCCTTTCTGAGGTCGCAAGCGACCGCTCAGGAGACCCGTCGTCTGTTCGAGTCTCCCCCGGATCACCACTCGACTCATTGACTGGCCTTTCTGGAGTGCGGCTCCTGCTTTCATTGTCCATCTCACCTGCATGACCAAAAAAGTATTTAGAAAATACCCATGCAAGATTTAATTATTGTTGAAGGCACCCAAGATTCATGACGGCACGGCCTGTCAAGAACGGGTAGCCCTCTAGCTGTCGAGCCCTACCGGCCGCAGGTCTACTCCCCGCGTCCTGCCCAGCCGCTGTCACCGCACAGCTAGTGACAGCTACGCGAGCGAGAGTGCACCCACGGTGCAGACCCACAGACCAAGCGGTATCACGACAACTTCTCCTTAGGAGATATATATACGACGTCTGCACTGCATGACTGTCGACTGCATTAAGAATGCAGATTTTAGCGCGATTTATTTGTGTGTGTAAAAGTACTGCACGGCTAGCACTTTCACACACTCGCGCAACGGAGAGAGAAAAATAAGCGAGGAAACAATTTAGTTATGCCCATCTGAGTAATTTTATATACATACATACATATAGGTATATATATATACTATACGTCTCAACAAGAAAAAACTCTGAAAAACAAAACTCTTCTAATAGCAACAGTATTTTCATGTCGCGTCAGGCTCTACTCGCGCCGCGTGTTTACTCTTTCGAGCGTCCTCCCGGAATTCGCGAATGCCGTAGCGGCAGTCCGTCCCGATCTCTCCTCTCCCCGCCCCCTCCCCCCGCATACACTGCCGCTCCTCATTCGCTTTATATAAAAAACGACTCTGAATGTAGCTGTCTCTTTTTTTTTCTCACTCTGAAATGTTTCTCTACTTATTAATTGCTCTTTCTCTAAAGCAATCATGGGAAAAAAAACGCTACATGGAGGAGTCGGCCTAGCTGATCAGCCAGCCGAGAGCGAGAGAGAGAGAGAGAGAGAGAACACGCGGACACAGAGCACTACGCAC